TCGGTTAACTGGGCGGTTAACCTAGATGCCAACCTCCCGCTCCTACTCGATATGACAACCTAGTGCTCGATTTACTACTAGGTTGAGCTAGCTAACTAGGTAAAAAGGTACATTTACCTAGCTCCGCGTCGTAGATAACCGTCCGGTTACGTCTGTGTTGAAGCTAGCTCCTCTCCATAGACGATTTTTGCTTGGGAAATACCGTGTTAACAGAAAAACAGTAACTCTTTCGACACCTTTTTATTACAGCGATATTACAGTTTGGTAGGTATAGCCATATTTTGTATTTTTAGCATTTCTATTAATCATTTTACGGTTAGCTGTATTACTAGTACCCGGTCTTGTATAAATATTCGGGTGTTATTTCTCCACGGTGCTATCGCTCGTAATAATTCTTTAGAATATGTTCCCACATATTCGCGATTTCGTATTTTAAAATATCGATTCCAGAAAGTTTTTACGAACTCCATCGGATTATGACTTATCTCTGAAACTTTTATTTCATTTTCTGCTCGAAAAATCAACAATCGTATTTTCAATTTTTCAGACTTTCTGCTAAAACTAACCTACCTTTCGAGTATTTTAATAAGTCTAACCCCATTCATATTTGTGTTGAACGGCATCAATTTTTTTCCTACTTTAGTGGTTTTTAATAGCAAAAAACAGTGATCTTCAGAAGCATCTGTTTCGAATTGTTAAATTTCTGGTTGCAACTCATAACTCGATCCACTCACCAAAATAATCTACTCATAATTTTCTTCCTTTCAAACTGTAGGTGAAATATAGTTTTGAAACACGTTACCACAAACAGTTTACAAAGGAATGTTATTTCAGCAACAGGTGGGAATAAGAAAATTCAGAACAAAAAAAATATCTGAAACAAATACAATATCAAAATTCTTGAGAAATATTTTCATTATTCACAGTACAAACAAATTATTCTATTAATTTGAACGATTTTTCATAACTGTCTTAGCCATTTTTTCCTTGAATTTCTTCATTTGCCACAATTAATTTAACAATGTCATCAATGATCATATTTTCTACACCGTTTTTGTATGATAATTCATCGTTTGAAAATGCCGAAAGATTTTGTTTAGTTCGTGTGATCTCTCCATTTTGTTGTACTTCTATAAAGACAGAAAAACAATTTTAGATGGTAGCCCACGTCACAATTTCCAGAGATGTTTTTGCAAAAAACTGCAAAACTTCACGTCGTTCTTTTGCAAAAATCTGCGGTAAAATTTTCGTCTCTCACGAATATTATTAAATTATTAAACTCTCAAAAATTACTCTCTCAAAATTACCAAATATATTTAAATATATTATTACAAATATATCTCAAAATATTATTGTCAGTGACAACAGCAACGAAGCTTTATGTATTTCTCAGACAATCCCTCGCAAAGGCAAAGCCTCATACCTCACTCCTAGCTTTACTCACAGTATTCTCTAAGCTAAGTGGAGTCATTTAGAGAAATCTCAATGCAAGTAAATCTTCGACGGAAAAGGACCACATATACCTATATATCACTCCACATTCCGCTTTTTCAAATTATACACGAGTTACGTGAGTCACGGCTTTTTTGCATTGCTGTTAAACAAAAACATTTTAGCGAGAATTTTCTTGAAAAAACACACGCAATGTAACGCAACGAAAAATGTAACAGAAAAGATCCTGCGATAAAAGACAAAAAGCTATCATTTTCTTGTTTATTTTTGTAGGGTAAAGATACAGCGCAAGAAAACACATATAAGAGCCATGCGTTTTCCGGTGTTGCAATAGTGTGACTAGAAAAGTGTGAAAAAACACACATTTCTGCAGAAATCGTTAAAAAAAGGTGACATTTGGCAGTCGGTCACAATAAAATCATTATCTTGCATACGCTATTTCTCATCACACTTTCGTATATCAAGATATCTAGTACATTTTATACATGAATAACTGGTGTAATAGATATTGGAAACTGAAAAGTTGTAACTTTCCGAAGAGAGCATAGTTTGCACTGAGAATCTCCTATTTTACAAGATATATGATTTTAGACAAGCCCATACGTTAGACAGAACTTACTTGATAGTTTTGCTTGTTCATCAGTATGACTGTGATGTGGCACCATTAGCCTGTCGGGTCCCAATACTTCTAATTCAAAACGTTTTCGTTTGATTTTCTCTTCGATTTCGGCTAATTCATTTTCTTTTCGTTTAACGATGAGATTGAGTTTTCTTGCTGCCAATGGCAAACCATCTATTATCATAGCAATTTTTGTTGCCAATGATGGTGGTGCTGTAGCTGATGGATCAATGGCTTTTCGATATTTAAAATAGTCACGTTTTAAAAATGCCATTGAAACAAGTTGTCGACCATGTTGATTAAACGCATATTCAAATAAGTTATCATTAAGTAGATCGTAGTCATCATCGTCACCATCTTCATCAACCGGCGCGCCATTAAACTCTTCAGCATTGAAACCTATTCAATAGACACCTTTTTAGATTATACAGTAAGCTTTCAGCTTCGCTCAAAAAACCAAGGGAAGAACTTAAACTTCGTCGTAGGACTTTGATTTCACAGGCACTCAGAGATATCCAGAATAGTTGTTTAGCCGAAATTTGTTCTCTAAGTGCAGCAAACACTGGCATTTAATAACTCATACATATTTTGTACCTAAGAAAAAAACTGACTTCTAATCAGCTAAATACTATCTGCTAGCGATTACCATTTACTACATAAATTATACTCTAAAAACAGACATTCAACTGGACTTTATGTCAACCGGAAATAGCCCATTAAGATACCATTTTGAAATAACATCAGGAAACAACTACTTTACAGTTAAATAACAGGTTTTAACTACTTATCAACAAATCATGTAGCGCCTTTATGAAAAATATAAACATGCCTTTGAACTTTTAAAGAAAATTTTGAAATTTTCTCTTTATTTATATTAGTCATCCAAACTTGTCTCACGAAGATAATCTTTAGTGCTTGGACTGATCCTAATGTTGGTCCCATGGGTTTAAGAAACAAGAACATTGAAATTTGAATATTCCATCTGTCAAAGGTTATTACATATACGAAACTGATTAGTTGATGATAAACAATGAGCTATAAGTCAACAAAGAAATATCATTTTCTCTCAATTGACCAAAATTCACTGCAAAAAAAAGTAAACTATACATTTAAATCCTAGTACTCTATAGTTAGAAAAGCTGCTTTACAGTATATTACAGAGACCGAAACGGGTCACCCAACTGTGACCTGAACCCAGCTCGACCCGAATTTTATCTTCCAAAAAAATTGATAATTTTTTGAGAACTATTAACGGATTTACGCCAGGTTTCAAATAAAAAAAGAAATTATTCACTTTCTTCAGAATAAATTCTAAATGAACCACTTTCTTTTCCAAAAATACAAGATTCTTCCAGAAGGTGATCATTAACCGGTTAGTGAAAATTATCTTGCCAGGGAAGATAGTGATGATACGATCCATAAGAGAAAACATCTCGCTAATAACGTAGATTACAGCCAATGAAACCTTCTCTCTTACCATTTTCTGGTCTACTTGTTAACAATTGTTGTAGCTTTTTCTCACGTAATTGTAATTCCCTTATTTGTATTAACAAATGTTTCACATATTGTTCTTCATATAATTCTGTTTTTTGTTCACAACGAAATTTATATTTAAATGGACCTATAAATAGTCATAACATAGCTGTTTTAAAAGTTGTACTATAGAAAATTTATTTTAAATCAACTAACCTTCTTTAATTTCAATTGCAACTAAATTTGGTGATAATAATTTAAAATTAATTTCTGATTTTCTATTATCTAACATTTCACGAATTTGTTCAAGAACCGTTTTAATATCGGTTATTTCTAATTGTGGATTTAAAATGGCTATACGTTGACGAATTTTATCTTCAGTTAATTCTTCATAATAAGCTGTCGAATTTGCATAAAATGCAATTTTATAAGAATTTGAGCTAAAATACGGTTGACATAATATCTGATTTTCTGGTGATTCATGAAATGTAAGTGAGGATAGTTCAATGACAACAATGGGTGATTGTTCAAATTCAAATGGATAAGTAGAGGAAAATTCAACAAAATCAACCATCTAAAAATATAAAACAAAAATTATAATTACAAACTATTCTGTAAAGTCTTTAAGAATTGCATGTAATTTTACTACAATGACAGAAGAAGAAAAAGCTTTTGCTGTTATTTCTTTTTGTTCTACTTAATAAAATTGATAAATATTTGGTTAAAATAACAGATTACATCTTCATTACATGACTAGAACTGATGAGAGAGAGAGAGTATTATCAAATGATCTAGAACAGATGCTTGAAATATTTTCTAACCTGATGATAATAATGATGATGTTAACCGTAGAAATTTAGCCTTGCGTTTCGACAAATGACGATTTAGTTGAACATTTTTTTTCTTCAACGATCCCGTCTCCGCTTATTTTTTTCTCTTATTTGTTCATCATTCTTTCTTACTTGTTCACCTCTCTCTCTCTCTCGCTTGTTCAGATTCTCTTGCGTGTTCACCTCTCTTGTTTGTTCATTTTCTCTCTCTCGCTCTCTCTCCGTTTTTTTTTTTCTTATACATTTTCTCTATTGTTCACCTCTCTATCTGACTCATCGTGGACGTATATCGTTCTAACACATAGACAGAACGGGCTGTTTATTGAATAATTTACGTTCAGTATTATCCATCAGTCAATAATTTTGATCATAGTCATGCTTGGTCGAAAAACGAGTGTGTGTGTGTGTGTGAGTGAATTTTGTCATTAACTATTGAATAGTTTGTATTACAATAAGAATAACGAGACATTACTTTCAAGAAACATTGAAAAGTGTTGAAAAAAACAACATTATTTAAGATTCAATTAAAGATATCGTTTTCTTCTTTTTCTATCCGGGTATTATTCTATACCGTTGTCTGTTAATCGTCTTTTTAAAATGGGAACATAACCCGATGATATTGAATAACTATGATTATACTTTCCGTTATTACAGTCGTTCAATCGTCAATAAGTTCTTGATTGATCGACAAATTTATGAAAACAAATCATTTTCGTATAAAATAAATAATACTTATTTTATCGTTTATTTCATGCTGAACGAGATTGCGGAAAGCAAAAGGAATGAGTAGCAGTACGTCAGTTCAATTCACCAAGCAAACATATCATCAATAATGGACAGATACACCATTAAACACGAACAGTTATCAGAAATTTCATGATCTTTGTTCTCTAATATAGTGGTAAGAGTGAATATAATCAAATTATCTGTGTTTTTCGATATTTTTTATGAAATTTAACGCTATTTTTCTTTGTTCAGAAAACGCAACACACTCTTCTTTTTTGTACAAGATTTGACCCGTACTTAAACTTTATCATTTTATTTTTTCTTTTCTAACATGGAAAAACGTATTTTTCTTTTACTTTCTTTCAAAGTGTATTTTATATTTGAGATTTCTCTTTACTAAGGATGACATATAACGTAGCAAAAATGTGTAAAGACACACACTCTGTAATTTTAGTTGAATATTCATAGACCGTTTGCGTTGTCCAGAAAAATAACGCTGAAAAATTAGGAAAAAATGACAATAGAAAATCATTGTGTGTAGGCAGAATGATGAATAAATAAAAAAATATTCGAAGCAGAGATCGTATTTAAAGTTTGTTAACATAGAAGTTAAGGATTTCATAGAGACAGAAGATATATCTAACGTTTACCTCTACTGGTACAGTGATTCGTAACTTTATCTTTTAAGATTCTTTATTAAGGTTACGCTTCTATGGACTTTTGACTATTTATAAAATTAGATATAAACCAGATGATAAAGAGTCGATATTTTTAGGGTAAATCAAAACTCCTTTTGTGTGTCTTTTCGTGTTTGCCTATTATATTTCCAAAAATTTTGAGAAAACTTCACTGTCTTATGGGACATCGCAAGTTTTTCTCGTGCTCACATAAAGAACGACCTGACTCTAGGATATTTTACCGTGATCATTATTTATTCGAATTTTTCATTTTTTGACAATAATTGAATCACGCTACTCGTTACAGCGGTTGTACCACCGCTTCGGGTCGTGACTATGCGATATTTATGGCGTGATCAGCTTTTCCCGGCTATCACTCTAATTTATTGCTTTCTCATAATTATAAAATTTGCCAATTAAAGTCAAGATCAAGACTAACACTTGCCGATTTGACTGTGATCAATTGCTAAGAGATGACAAGATTTTGAAATCAGGGGAAGTTATATACTAGGCATCTAAGGAGAACAAAACGTTGAATATGATGTGGAAAAGAGTAGAGCCACGACCCTGTATCATATCGAGAGTGGAAGAGAAAAATGCAATCGCGTCGTGATTTTGAAAGTTATTTAAAACATTTAGGTTAACGCGAATCTCTACGCAATTAGAAGGAGATTGCTGCAGAAAAAAATTGTTGGATCGAGGTCGGAAGTTAGAAATTTTCAGAAACAAGAGGTTGTCATCGCGCCATGATTATAGCGATCGCAGCGTGAGCTATGAGAAAATGACGAAATTCTAGATGTACCATTATTAAAAAACTAATTTTTATTCGGGGAATTTTGTAAAACACTGCTAAACCATTTGCCGAAGATATTTTTCAAGTAACCAAACGAAATTTTCTGATGAAGTGTAACATGATATCGATTTTTCAGGCGGTGTACCTGACGGATGAAAAACGATGCGGTTGCTAGATTCTGAAGCCTCTGCGTATGTTTAATTGTAACATGGTGCTGGGATAGCCCAAAATGTTCTCTACAATTCTGCGCAAGGCTAACATTTCCATCTGTTTTGATTCTCGAATGACAGGCATTTTCCTGAGTCACCCGTAGTTCTTTGCCATTTCGTCGGGTAAATGCCTACCATTCGAGTACCACAACAGATAGAGAAGTCGGTGTTGCGCAGAATTCTAGAGAAGGGGGCTCTCTAGCCACAATGTTACAAGTTTTCAAATTCAAATTTCAATCGTGCTCTTCAAACTGACATAGTTTGAGGGCACATATAAGGTGTGAGGAGCCACTCCTTAACTGCAGTGTGAAACTCTTGCCAAGAATCCTGGAATAACGAAGCATGATAGAGAAAACGTTTTGCTACAAAAATTGCAATGGCCGACTGCGAGAGGTAACGTTGGGGTACTTTGTAAACACTTTAAAATATTCATAATGATCATTTTCTATACTTAACATTTTTCCAGCCAGAAAAGTTAGACTTCAAAATCTTTCCTTAAATTTTCGTGAAAAATGTCAAGTACAAAAAATGATCATCGTGAATATTTTCTTCTCTAGCATAAACATTCCCGGATGTTTATTTCATACTGTTTCAAATGTATTTTCAAGAATATGTGCAAAGAAAGACAATTTTTTTTGTTGTATTAACTATCGTTACTGTGAGCGATAACGTTGCCTGACTTTCAAAATGTTCTTCCATATGTTTTAAATTAAACTTTTTCAAAATTTTTCCATTAACTCTGAAACACAGACAATGTTACCGCTCGCAGTACCGCTTATTAATACAATAAAAAAGAATGTCTTTCTTTGCAGATATTGTTGAAAATACATTTAAAACAGAATGAAGGAAACATCAAATATTTACGATGATCATTTTTTGTACTTGACATATTTCATGAAAATTTAAGGAAAGATAGTTATTTAGTAGATATAACCTTTTTCCTAATTGAAAAAATGTCAAATACAAAAAATGATCATCGTGAATATTTTCTTCTCTAGCATAAACATTCCCAGATGTTTCCTTCATACTGTTTCAAATGTATTTTCAAGAATATCTGCAAAGAAAGACGTTTTTCTGAGCAGCCAACTACCCTTCTGTACAAAAGTGCAACAGAAACAGTTAATTGAGGCAGTATATTACATACTCTATCTTTTTAAATTTTGTTCTACTCTTCCGTTTCCGATCGGACGTCTCTTCTCACAGACGCTCAGTGACTTGATCAGCAACAACTAATGAAAAAATCAACGGTCAAGAAGTGGTGGTGTGCCTTTACTAGTGAAAAATCGATTTTTAACGAATTAAGGTTCCAAAACCCCTTCGCATACGGTTTCGAAGATTTTCTTCTCCGCATAATCGAACTCAGAACTATCGAAAACCTATAAATATCAGGTTTGTAGCTCATTAGAGTGCGTTTTGGGTACTCAACTTGTGAAAAAGCAAAGTACGTGGCCATTTGCTTTTAAAAACTAAAAGTCTTTATATCGTGTACAATGTCTCTAATTAACGCAGATACTGGCTCATTTTATCATGCTGATTCTAAACATCCCCTGGGTTTTGAGTTTTGAGCGAGTTTAGACGAAGAAACACGCCCAAAACTGAAATTTGATGTTTTTGCTTGTACAAGGTATTTCGAAAATTCTGACGTAACATACACACACTTTTAAAACTTAAAACATAGCCTGTCTTGTTAGAGAATTCCTCGCTCTACAAGATTCTACTGCCAATTTCTTGATAATTCACAAACGGATGCAACAACGAGAAAAACTCCAGAAAAAGCGTTTTCTAAAATCCACCATTTTTCAAGTGATGACTTTCTTAAAAATGTAGTTTACGCCGAAAAAAGACTGAAACACCTCTATAGAATCAGTTTCAACTACTCTTCCTAATGAGAAGTTGCTCGAAAATTTTGAACGAAAAATGACAGTTACAGGTGAAACAAACATTCAAAACATCTCTTCTTTGCGGTGTTTCGGACGTCTTCATTTGAAATGCCTATAACTCCCTCATTTTTCATCCAAAGTCACTCAACATCTTTTATAACCTAATTTTTCTCACAGATTCAAAATACTTAATAAAAAGTGTAGGTCAGATTTTGCCATGTTATGAGCTTTTGAGCTGTTATTCGGTTTTCACGTGCACGATTTCTTAAAGTTCAAGCTCAAACTTGTAGTTTGTTCATGGTTTTCAGTACGCAGAACTTTTTATTTTCTAGAACGGAAAAAACTCCGTTTGCATATAAAGTTCTTATTAGCTAATCTTGATGATTTTCTGTTTGGTGAGATTCTATCTTGGATCATTTTTTTAGTAATAGTACCTGATCTGATTCATGTTCGCTTATACCAGTAAGATCATGGTTGGTCCTGTTTTTGCTATTTTTCTTGCTTTTTTTCTTTCCGATGTCTTAACGGTATGGCGTCCAAAACGTTTGAATCGAAAATAATAAATGAAGTTGACTTTGAAGTAGGGACGGCACTTTACTAGTTACTCGGCGTTACTTTACCAGGTAAAATAACGAAGTTAGTTATTTCTTTACCAGTAATGAGTAACTAAATTCGTTACTAGTTACAAGTAAAAAAAACGTAAAGTGCCACTCCTACTTTGACGGCTGATTTAGTTGAATAATATTTAACTGAATTCCCAATCAATATAATACTGCAATGACATGAGCGAAGGTAGAAACACTACTGCCACAAGACTTGCAACTACAAAAAAACTCCATTCAATCCAATACTTCATTAATGGAAAATACTTTTTCGTCTCTTTCTGCGTCTCTGTCATTAATTAATTCATATTTTTCATCCTCACTTGTATCATCAATAAACTTTATCAAAACAACATATTTTTGATCACGATTAATGTGATTAGGATTTGTAAATCTTGATGTTATGCCTTCGAATCTTATTATATAACTATTATCTTCTACGTCTTTAGTTATTTCTTCTTACGTAGAATACACAAGAAAAGGGATTCTGCTTGGTGCTAATCTTTTAGAATCACGACTAAAATTAATTACTTCGGAGAGTGCAGCATTTAACAATGGTCTGACAATCCTATTTTTAATCTATCCACTCGGAGAAATAAGTGGAGCACATTTCAATCCTGTGGTAACATTCACACTTACGTTACGTCGCGTATTTCCATGGCAATGGATACCATTCTATTTTCTATTAATTAATTCATTGTTTTCAGCTTCACTTGTATCATCAATAAACTTTATCAAAACAATATATTTTTGATCACGACTAATGTGATTAAGTAAGAAGTTTTTCTGCCGTTACGAAAATAAGTGCCCTGTGTACATCTCTGCCGAGAACAGATGGCACATTCTTAACGATTATTGAAAAATATTTTCACTTCACGACAGACCTGTCGCGAAAATAACTCTTTTTGTTGCAATGTTAGTT